CCCCTGCCTGTCCCCACAACCCCACCGCTTCACCAGCAGCCCCTGCCTCATTCAGCCCGGGCCGGGGCTCTGCCTGGGGCGGGCGCTGGAGAACAGAGGGGATGGGATCTCAGGATTAAATAGCGACTCACGGTTCATACAAATTGGGGACAGCGTTAAATAGGGTTACCATACGTCCGGATTTTCCCGGACATGCCCGGCTTTTGGGGATTTGCCCCCGGACGGGGATTTGAGCCCCCAAAAGCCGGACATGTCCGGGAAAATCCGGACGTATGGTAACCCTATTTAACGCTGTCCCCAATTTGTATGAACCGTGAGTCGCTATTTAATCCTGAGATCCCATCCCCTCTGTTCTCCAGCGCCCGCCCCAGGCAGAGCCCCGGCCCGGGCTGAATGAGGCAGGGGCTGCTGGAGAAGCGGTGGCTTGGTGGACACAGCGCTGGGCTGGGACCCAGGAGATCTGGCGCAGCTCCTGGTGCGGCCACAGACTCTGTGTGATGGGAGCACGTCGCGGTTTTCAAAAGTGTCCTTCCTTGTGGGGGGGCCTCAATCTTGGGGATCTCAGGCCGAGTGCCCACAAACCAAGATGCCCACAGTTTGTGGAGAACTCTGCAAACGCTGGCCTCAATACCGCTGGATCCCTTGTGTTGGGGGTGCATGTAGGGCCCCCGCCATGATCAGGGCCCCTTTGTGCCAGGAGCTGAATAAACACAGAGCGAAGAGACAGTCCCTTCCCCTGGGAGCTCACTGAGGAAAGTGACTATGTCTGTGCCTCAGTTTCCCACTATGTAGAATGGGAGGCTGACTCCCTTCTTGTGTGCGGCTCGGGGCCTGGTGCTGGGCGCTGCCGGGTACCAGACACAAGCCCGTGAGTCACTCTGTGCTAGCGGGGCTAGATGCAGTGAATGAGGCAGGGGCCACACATGGGCATAAGAAGATCCCAGGAACTAGGGAGCCACGGCTCCATGTCTGTGGGGCTAGAAGCCCAGCTCGCAGGGCCAGGATTCTGGGTGGGGGAAACTCTGGGATCTGGGTGACAATCTCTGCCCGGGGGCCCCCAGATCTGTCCACGGCTGCAGCCAGCAGGGGAGGCCGGGGCTGGGTGGGTGCCCAGGTCTGGCTCTCACAGCCTGTCTCCTGTGCGCAGATCCCAGCTTACCCAAACCCTCCATCTCTCTGAGCCCCACTGGGGTCACCGTCCCAGGGGCAAACATCACCATCCGGTGCCAGGGGCAGCGCCGGAACGTGACGTTCTTCCTGCACAAGCCTGGAGACATGAACCCGCTGCGACCTGTGGACCCTGCTGGGGACGGGGCTGAGTTCCACATCCCCACCGTGGGCCTGCAGCACAAAGGGAACTACAGCTGCAGCTACCAGCTCCAATCACAGCCCTTCGTCTCCTCGCAGCCCAGCGACTCAGTGGAGCTGGTGGTAGCAGGTGAGGGGCCCGGCTCGACGTCCCCGCTCCCAGCCCCACACCCAGCCAGACCCTCGCGGGGGGCTCCATGCTGCTAGGATGCTCAGAGCCAGGCTCTGCCCGGTGAGAGATACAGGTGCTCCTATCACAGCAGATCAGAGCCATTCGCTGTGTCGTACCCCAGCGACCCCATGGAGCTGGTGGTGGGAGGTGAGGGGGCAGGCTCGGTGTCCCTGATCCCAGACCAACCCCCAGCCAGACCCTCACAGGGGCTCGGTGCCAATCGGACACTCAGAGCCAGGCTCTGTCCTTAGACCTGACCCCGCAGAGGGGACGGCCGGCTGGGGAGTGGGGCTGGGGTCACTGGGGGGTTCCCCAGCTAGGGGGGAGCAGCAGCTGTGACTTTAAACAGTGACTTTAACGCTGTCCCCAGTTTGTATGAAACGTAAGTCGCTATTTAATCCCGTGATCCCATCCCCTCTGTTCTCCAGCGCCAGCCCCAGGCAGTGCCCCTGCCCTGGCTGAATGAGGCAGGGGCTGCAGGAGAAGCGGTGCCTTGGTGAACACGGCGCTGGGCTGGGACCCAGGAGATCTGGCCCAGCTCCTGGTGCAGCCACAGCGGTTTTCAAAAGAGTCCTTCATTGTGGGGGGGCCTCAATCTTCAGGGTTCTCAGGCTGAGCGCCCACAAACCGAGATGCCCACAGTTAGCAGATGTCACGGAGTGTGGGGGAGTCAGGGCCCTGCACCCCTCTTCCCGAGATTCACTGCGACTCTCAACCAGCCAGTAAAGCAGAAGGTTTATTTAAGGACAGGAACACAGTCTCAAGCAGAGCGTGTAGGTATGACCAGACCCCCTCAATTAGGTCCCTCTGGGAGGTTCAGGGAGCTTAGACCCCAGCTTGGGGTTCCCTGCGTTGCACCACCCAGCCCAAACTGAAACTAAACTAAAACTCCCCCTGCAGCTCCTCTCTTCCCCCTCCCCCCA